CATTTAAAAATTTTTATTTCAACGTAATAATAAATTTTTTTATAATTACTTATAAAAATCAACTTTTATATTTGATTATTAATTAATGGTGGCTTCTTTTATCAAGTATTCAATGTTATAATTATTTTAGCTAATAATCTTATTGTACCTATAGGGAACAGATTGTGTATATGTTAATAAATGAAAAAAAAAAAAGATTATTATTAATTAAAACTGTACATAAAATGTATTTAATATATTTAACGATGTGAGTAGGCATAATATTTTTGTTCTAGTTAATAGATCAAGTAGAAAAGCAACTTAATAATTAAAACGATCATGATGTAAATATAAAATTAATTTTACATAACTAAATTGTAGAAATTTATTTATTATTAAAAATACAATTTTAAATATTACAGGTGTATAATTTCAGTCTAAATAGAAGAAATAAGTTAATGAAAGTTAAAGAACTAGTTAATCAAATAAATCAAATGAAAAGTTTATTTTAAGTGTAAAAAAATATGAGTGCGATTGTAATTAAATAAAAACGAAGTGAGCATAGTCGAATTAACGAAAAAAGTACAACAATTATATTTTTAAGTACTGAATACACTTTTACAACTTTAAATCTATTACTTACTAGGTAAAATAATAATTTTAATTGATGTTTATCAAATTTATTTATTTCTGCATTTAATTACGGAAAATAAGATGGGTAAATTATTAATATTTCAAATCTAAATTTATCTTTTTTATGTTCCTATTTTAAGTATAAATTATAAATCATTTTCACGGGTTAAAAACTAATGAATTACTTTTAATTTTGTTTGTTATAAAAAATAATGTGTTAGTATTACAACACGGTAATTTTAAAAGAAAATATTTGCTATTATTACATTTTTACTCTTTTGGTTATAGATATAAAGTAGCTATATATATGGTATATTTAAAGTGGGAAATTGAGCATAGTTCACAAATTATATAATTATATACATATGTATATGATTGGGCATTATTAACATTGATCAACTCCTTTTTAACCACAAAGAAAATAATTACCAATAATGATTTGCTGAGTATGGTAACAAAAAAAATTACTAAAAGACCATTAGTTGAGTTTTATGGAACTGTGGAAGCTTCAGCCCACATAGAAATATTCGTAACTTATGACTCATAGAATATGAGCTCTCACGTATATTTTTTTTCAAGCCACGAGACATTAGAGATCAACCTTAGGAGAGGATATCTATGGGTTCCAGAGTCAATTCTACTTGCGTTGGGGTCAGAACACTCCCTGACAATAATAATTATATAGTGAAGATACAATTTTTTCGTTTGAATGGGTAATAAAAATTTTTCTTATGTATATCTCTTTTCCTAAAAAATATTATGGATACGCTACAGAGAGAACTGTCAAATTAAATAGGAGTATTCAAATCATGTCGAAGACTCGCTCATAGAAAAATGAACATCATATGCGTATGCTAACAAACCAAAAAAAACAACTAGATAAAATTCAACTACATAGATATGTTATACTGAATATCATACATCTCTTAATAGATACTGTCTTAAGTTCAAATTGCCCACACTTGATTTAGTCATGTGTACAATATTCGGTCATTGCAATACAATGCTATGTCAAAAAAATTAAAAATATTTTCATTTTACTCATTTTGGGAAGACATAATTTACTTACAGTACCCAATTTTCCGCATTGATCGTAACACTATAAGTAAAAATATATAAGCATATATATTTGTTTTAATCAATATATCATTTTAATTTTTAATGGTAAATAATCGATTATTTAATAATGGTAGATAATATCAATTCATTTATAATTTATACTACAAAAACTTGTTTAATACGTCATAACTTGAAATCATATTTTCTCTTTGCGTGAAAGTGTTATTCAGTTAAATTACACACATTTTATTCATCTAGCATGAAGTATTATATTTATAACACCATAATACATATATTGATATAAGTATTTATATGTTATTTTGTGGATACGTTTTAAAAAGAAGTAAAGATGCTTCCTTTTAATAATAATTATTGAAAATAATTTTGAAGAATACAATAAAAAATCTTATTCATAAAATTTGGCACATTATTTAACTAAAATATAATCTTTATCGAAACTAAATTAAGGATTAATATTCACAGCTGTTCAATAAATATTCTGAAGTAATTTCAGAACGTTATGTACTTTTCATAGTGAATAAAAAAGCAGGTATTTTATTTGATTATATTCAATATTATAGTTTGTATTAGAGTATTTATTTTAGATATTATAGTATTTTAGATTATGTGGCTGATTCATTAAAAACAATTTTTTTAGATACAGTGAGTAAAGTAAATATTCAGACATTCTCTTGAAAAAATAATTTGCATGTTGAATTACAATGGTCTTACAGACATTTAAATATTGTTTAATTACACGAACACACATTTTTCTAATGGTGTTGATAATACTTAAAGGTCTGTAAGACAATAACGATTCGAGAAACAAATTAATTTTTTTAGACTATGCACGAATATTTACATTACCATAATGTACAGTGATATTATGGTGGCAGGATTTTAAATTTTTTTTATTTTTTACGAGATCTGGCACTATAATTTAATAAAAAAAATGATTTTTGAAAATTTGAGATCATTCTTATAAAAATTACAGTACTACTATTTTTGGAGATTTTAGTATTTCCAGTCAATTTCATCCATTGATTTATACAAGTATGTATTAATAAAAAAACAATTGTCTCAAACCTTGGAAAGATTCGTAAAATAGCCAACACTCTAATAGACCACTCACATTAAGAATAAGTATGTTTTAAAATTAATTTAGACAAAGTATTTAATTGAGTTATTTGGCATTTAATATGTCATCTTAATTCTTGAATAGGTACTGTGAAATGCATTATATAAGTTGATTTGAGTAAGGTTAAGTGCGTGGTCCATTGTATATTTTTGTTTAAAAAAAAAACAGATAAATTCAATAAACATTTATTTTATAAATTGTAAGACTCCATAAATAAGTTTAAATAATAAAATAAACAAGAATTTCTATCTAAATATTTGTAATGTATTTTTAGTGTTTCTAACAGTAAAGTTGCCTTATTTATTTGTTTTACTTATTCGGTTAAAAAAAAATCTACCTCAGATAGTAATGTAATAGTATCCAAAAGTTTTTTTGTATTTTAGATTTATTAAAAAAAAAATCATATGAAATTTAAATCAAATCAAATAAAGGTCAATGTATTCTTTTGACTATTTAAAAAATTAAATACATGAAAACGTTGAATTTTTTTAATTTGATGTGTTTTAACTTTCATGTATATATTTATTACTTTTGAAATGTTTACAATTTTACGTCTGCTAAAATGGCTGAAGTTTTTCATTATTTTATAATATCTATTCTGAAGCTAGGAACTAAAATCTTCTGAAAATTATAAAAACGAATCCGAAATTTCAAGATGACTTATATATTGGTTTATTTATTATCTTTATTAATCAACCTGTATATTTACTTGTTGTTTAAATTGTATTAACATTTTTTATTTAAGGCTTAGTTATCATTTAAGTGATAGAAACTAATTAAAACATGAAAAATTAATAAGTAGTTTTTATTGTGATGAAGATATAATGTTATGATTCTACTATTAATAAGGCTCAAAACTTCTAGCATTTACATAAATTGTATTAAAGGTTCTAAGGATACCTACATAAGTTGTAAATTTGTTTCAAAAATCAATAAGCTAAATTCAAATATATAGCTTCAAGGCTATTTTGCTTTGAAGCGTTATTAATAATTAATAACGTTAAGTAATAGGGAAAAATATTAAGAAGGTAGAAACAATATTTACAATTTTATTTTTGTGATTATTGTAACAACAAAAAAATGTCGAGACTTAAACGCGTATATATAGTAAAAAAAAAAATAATATATACAGAGTGATTCCTTGAGCACATCTCACAAAATATCTTTGAAAATATTAGAGTTAATCATTATTATTATTTTTTTTAATATTAATACTCAATATTGTTGCCATTAAAAAATATAAAGTTTACACCCTTATAAGATGTAAGGAATGAGATAAAAAAATATTTAATAATTGATAAAAGGAAAAATTTGTTTTTTAGTTTAACGGGGCCGCCGGGGATTTACAGCTGGTTATAGAAAGTGTACCGGAAATAGTGGGAAAAAAAAGAGGCTCGGCGTGGGGTTAGAACTCGCGACCAAGGCGCTGTAGAGACAAACCTTATTACTAGGTCACCATGCACTTATTTTCAGATCTAAATACACTTTCATTTAAGTTGATAACGTGATGTGCGGCTGAGGTAAACACGGCACCGTGTCAAGTTTACTCATTTGAATCACTATTAAGAAGTTTTGCTTCTCTCATGTCAAAAATCAGACACACGCAATTTTTTCTATACAGAATGATCTGTTTATCCACTAATTAATCATAAAATAATTACAACATTGAGACAAAACTATTTTAAATTATAGAAATTTATTGATTTATCAGTTATTCATTTTTTTTCAACTCTTATAACTTCAAAATATGTCTCCTAATTATTTTAAAGAGCAACATAAATATTTAACTAGATTATATAACAGAAAATGATCCAATTAAGAAAATAACTGGTCTATCACAACTTTTAGACGAGATTTTTGAAAATTATTAACATTTTATAATTTTAACTGTAGATAATGCGCAAATATTACATTATTTATAATTAGATTTTCTCGATTTCTTTATCAATCTAGGTAAAGAGCTGATTACTTATAGAAGATAAATTACTGAATAGTTTTTCTAATATTAGCCATATAATACATTAAATAGGCTTTAATTTGAAATAATTTAGAATGAAGTGAATGTTCATTGACTATGCCAAAAACTACTATTATAATTTCATTATAAACCAATTGTCGTTAAAAATTTTGTTACAATTTGACTAACTAAATAAAGTACCTGATTCATCATACATTAAAAAAAAAATTCAAATAAAGTTTAACAAATGTTTATTTTAAAATTATAAAATTACATAAGTATAAATAGTAATACAAACAAATAATTCTATCTACATATTTGGAATGTAATTTTAGTAGTTCTTACATCAAAATTGTCTTTTTTTTTTTTTTTTTTTTTAAGAATCAGGTTACTGATCAAAGAATCTCTAAATTAATGATTACATATCTAAAAATCCACTTTATACTATGACATGTTTAGTGAACGATTTAATATAAAACAATATTAGTTTATAAACCTTTGGTTATTTTTTGATTCGCCCGAATGCAAAAAAAGTGGTTGTTAAAAATACAATATTATAATATAGGAACATTGAAAAACAATTTTATAATTCAACACTACAGCAATAATATAGATAGTTATTATTACATCACTGATTTTAAAAGAAAATTTTTTTTTATAATTTATAATTTTGAAATTTAACTTCCTTTGGTTAAATTATAACAACATTTTTATACAACACGAGATTATATTTTAGATGTTTAAAACTTTTCAACCTATAGAAAATACGTATAGTTTTTATTAACTGCAGGGGGTTGGGTTATTACATATCTAAACTTATTATTCCATTTAATCTTAAATTTATTTAGTTATTTACTTAATTTTGTTTGAATATTTCAGCTTAGTATTGTCTTCAATTATATTTCTTATTCATTAATATCACACGAAAGTAATGGCATCGTCCCTATCCAAGTCTCGAATTAACGGTTCATTGACATCGTCCATATGTAACATACTACTCATATCTTCGCAATCAGCAATCATTGGAGTCACTGGGGCCGAGTTTACCCTTGGGAATCCCGATAATCTAACGGTAGTGTGAAGTATAGTTTGATCAACGGTATCAACACTGTTATTATTGCATCCCACAGGCCGTTTGATTGAGGTTACAGGCTGTTGGTCAATAAAATTGTGATCGATACAAGGACACGATACGCTCAGATGTCTATCACAACAGTATTCATCTTCTTCAGCTACACCCGACGGTCTTCGCCTCACAGGAGTACCATCATCGTGATGCATAGCAAATCTCAATTTTTTCGGCGATTCAAGACTACAACACCTATTTGGAAATAGTATAACACTTTTTACGAACAACTTTTTAAATCTGAGTCTCTAGATATGACAAAAAAGATTTAAACGTGTTTTTTTAGTAACCGATTTAAATTAATTTTCATTAAATATAGTCGATCATATAAAAAAAAATTAGAAATTGTGTTATGATGCAAGTACATTGATGACTTATCTATACCAATGGACGAAAAAATATAGATTTAAAGCTATAAAAAAAAGACTAAAGGAATTAACCTTGAAATTATTTAGGATTTGATATCATTTTAACGAAAAACTAATGTGTCAAAATTTAAAAGAATCATGTCAGCGTAATGCTATCTATTTTATGGTTTTTTTATGTTTCCAAGTGAAAATTCGTGTTAAAAAAACTATTAGTTCTTTTTGAAAAGCAAAACTCAAAATTTATCAAAAAACCAGAAGCATGACGACCTTGATAATTGAATGACATCATGAAAAAGGTATCAAATATGATGAAGGACTATGTGACGTCCGGTTCATAACAAATTTGTCTGAACGGTCCATTAAAGGTCTACTAAATCAATGTCACAACCATCCGTTGTAGTGAAATAATAATAATTCACTACTTGTGTCTGCATTCTGTGGTTTGCCTTTTTTAAAATTAATCTAACGTCTTGAACATTTTCAAGAAATTTAATAGTGATTAGGGGAGAAATTTAAAACTAACCTGGATAAAGGTCCATTTATTGTGCTTTTTGGAACTTTTAACGAACTTCGTGGTCCTTCTTTAGTATTATTCTTTTGAACTCTAGACGACTTTCGATTTTTACCACCACTAGCACCACTGTGTTGTTCTCGTCGCCGTGATCTATCTTCATCCCTCTTAAGCCTATGTAAATTATCTTCACCTACCAACCAATATGTCCGAACATTACCTTTACCTTTCATTTCAACTAACCCACGTTCGTTTGTTTGATATCCTCCTAGACGTTCCAAGAGCATTCGACATTCATTGGAACAATGAATTTTCAAAGCTAAAATAAAATAAATTTCAATATGTATAACTTATTTTCAAATGTGCAATAAATTTTCTAATCTTATTAATTTTAATACATCACTTTACTGTAAGGGGTTATCTTTTTAAGTAGTTTAGTGGTATGCTTAAAGTTATATTAAAACATACATTTAAAAGAAAACAAAATTCATTTTTCGATAAAAAGTTTTTTATAACAATGAGTGGAATAGTAGGGTAAATTATATGCCCAATCTTTATCGGCAAATATGATAAAACAGTGTTTTATTTACACACATTTAACACCATGTACCACTAATGGTACTTCTAAAGTACAATATTATTAATGTAGTCTAACCGTTGCTATTAGTTATTCAAAATACTGCACCGTGAATATTTCAAAATTTCAACGGTATATCAATATGCATAACAAATAAGACAGTAACTTACTTTTTCTCATTTTTCAGGATATCGAAAATAAAAATTACTCTCTGATTACACTTAATTTATCAATTTTCTTAGTAGTTTAATTCCGATTCAATCCAAATTATTGATATTTTTATGAAAGTTATTATTATTAAGAAGAGTAAAACCTAAATCCAAATACCTTAAAATCTCTAATGCGATTTTTTTTAATTACTGCTTTTTAAGTTGCGCATTGCGGTATAAAAATAATTTCATCTACCTGAACCAGTTGATTCCATTCGACTTGCTGTATTAACTGTGTCACCAAATAAGCAATATCTGGGCATTTTTAACCCTACGACTCCCGCACATACTGGACCTAAAATTGAATAATTTCTTTTATTTAAATAATACTCTATATTATAGATACGAGTTACAATTGTTCTCATTGTTTGTAACAATTTACTTGTTTCCTTACTTAATTAACATTTTATATAAATGTATATGTTTATGTTTAAATAATAAAGACCTCGTGAGTTTTTTTAAAAGAAAAATAAAAACTATATAGTTTGTTTTCGATTTATTTTAATCTTTCATTAAAATCCCTGACAGTCTATTTGAGTTTTAAAAAGTTATTTGTATACTAAAAAACAAATTTCTGGGGAAAACTTCAAAACACGTGGATTTTTACATAGAAAGGTATTAGTATTTTACGTAAAGAAAAAACTTTTTAAATGTTATTTATTTTTATATCTAATAAAATTGTATTTTCTATAAACAATTATCCAAGTTAATATTGCATTTTCTCTCTCTCTCTCTATATATACATATATATTATATAAGGTTAAATAAGATTTTTTATAAAAAATATCATTGTTGACTAAAGAATAAAGAAATCTTTAATAATCTTAAGAAATTATTGTTTATAACATAAATCAGTCTAAAAATTTTTGTTAAGTCGAAAAAAATCGTATTAGCTATCAAATAATTCCAAAAAAATTCAATAGAAAACAATCATATAATAAATAAACGAAATAACAATTTCGTATTGAATTTTATTGTGATAAATAAAAATATCTTTTTAATACTACTATAATACAGATGACAAATATTGATTTTAAAATGCAATATTGATACTTGGAATTTTTATTTTATAGAATGTTTATGCAAAAAGAATTCAAAAGAATATCAATAAATACATTTTTTTTCTGTATGATTGACCTACATAAGTAATGATCTGTTAAATGATTGTAACAGCGGCAAAAAAATTTACGAGGAAATATATTAATCATCTATTTGTTTAGACAACAGAAGTTAACAATTGTAGAAAAAAAATATTTCTTATTGAAATGGGATACTTATTATTACCATAATTATGTAAAATATTAATACATTTACATAATTTTAATTGTTTCTACTAACCAGAATGAATCCCGATTCGTAGCCGAAGACTGTCATATGGCCTATGTCTTATTTTGAACTTTTTTACGGCTTCCAACAAATGGAGAGACATTGTAGCTATTTCAGCAGCATGCATGTCACCGTTTTTAATAGGCAAGCCGCTTACCTGTATTATATAAATATCACTTTAAATACAATAAAAAACCTTTAATACACTGACAATATTTATAGCCCATGTCTTACCACCATATAAGCATCTCCGATAGTTTCAACTTTATAGACATCGTAGTTTTGTATTATCGAATCAAAACACGTATACAAATCATTCAAGAAATCAACCACCTAAAGAAACGAACATCAGTAAGACAATTTTAACATTAAGTTTTTTACATACTTGAAATGGAGTACTCTCAGCAGACATAGAAGTGAAACCAACTATGTCACTAAAGTAAATTGTAACGCAATCGAAATTTTCAGCTTGTACTTTATGTCCTCTTTTCAATTGTTCAGCCACATACTTTGGTAACATTTCGTACAAAAGAGCGTCTAGACAAATAACAAAGTGGATCTCACATTATAGTTAAGTTCAGATCATTAACATAATAACAAACAATTTAAGTAATAGTTTACCGGTCTTTTTCTTTTCTTCAACGAGTTGATCCGTCCTTTCGTCTACTAATACCTCTAAATTGTTAGCGTACTTTTCCATCATTGCCATCATGTTATCAAATATATTTGGTTTCCTAAGATGTACAAAAGAAAACATATTATGAAACAGTTTTAATTGAACTTTAGCAAGTGTTTTCAATTTAAAAGTTTCTACTAACATTCCTTTGCGCATTGGTCTCAGTTTAATTCTTATAGTTTTGAAATCTGGACGATCGTCCGGATTTTCAGCCCAACAATCTTCTAAACAATCCCTCACAAAATCAAAGTTGTTTTCGAGTAAATCCAAAGGCGGTCTGAAATTATAATAAGATCATTTATAGAAGATTCATATAATTTTGTACAAAATTGTTTTTCACATCATGTTTAATTTTCATTCTGCACTAAATAAATACATAATAGTGATATGATGAACTGAACTTATTGTTGTTAAAAAATAAACCACAATCATAGTGGTGGATTAAAGGGAGGTCCAGACTCTCTAAATCTTCTCCTATACACTGATAATTATACATTACATAAAAAGTAAGGTAAAAATATGATACGTATTTTAATCATCTATTAATTTTTAAGACCTCTCCTAAATATATGTTAGTAATCCGCCATTCCACAATTAAGTAACTCAGCTTTTCTGATATATAATTTGTATTCATTTCTTCTAATATAGACACAATTGTGATGTTTTGATTAAAAAAGTTACATTTTAGTTAGATATTGCGAAACTTTTGATTGGCATAAATGAAACACTCATTTTTATGTCTTTCTGTTATTTATTGTTATGAGTCCAACAAACTTTTATAAATTTGTTAATCGCTGTTTAATTATTTTAAGAAAAAAATAATTTTAAGTTTTTTAGCTACAATATTTTTTATTATAAATAAAATGAAAATTAATTTTTAATAAAGAATTGTATTTTAATTACGCAGTATGTATATGTATATACCTAAACGGTTTTGATCCAGGTTCTTGCTGGTAGTAAATAAGTTTTCTTAGAATGTCTGAAACTCCTAATTCGCGGTTTTCTCCAAATGGACCCTTGCGACTATGCAGCTCATACAATATAATTGAAAATGAGTATACATCTCCTTTTTGCGAACCGAATGAATTTTGAATCGATGAGTTATAACAACGTAACAACTCCGGAGCAATGTATAGGAGACCTAATAAGGCATTACAACAATTAATATAAAAAAATTGTACAGCCATAACATTAGTTTAACATTTGAAATTTACCTTCGCATTTACAGTCAACCTCATCATCCTTTTGAAGTCGAAAGTCGTGCTGAAGAAAATGATGAGGATAATCTTCTGAGTCTTTTTTGAACTCTTGGAGCCCAAAATCGGTTAATTTCAAGACCCATCTGGAATCAACCAAGCAGTTAGATGCTTTTAAATTACCATGATACCTCAACGCCGAATCATGGAGATATAACATTCCCTAGATAATATTCGTTATTCATTAGAGATATTATGATTTTTTATTTTTATATAATACTAACTCTTATTATATCAGCAACTAAAGATGCAATAAACATATTATCTAATTTAACGTCCTCATTTTCTAAAATATCCTGTAATAATTGTAATAAAACGTAATTATTTTACTTTTTTCCTAATAAGAAATTAAATTTTCACCTTTAAACTTCCTCGATTACAATATTCAGTCACTATACATATATTCGGCGGGTCTGTACACGCTCCAATAAATCCATTTAGGTTGTCATGTCTTAAATCTCGCATCTATGTTTTAAAAAAAACAATTCTTTATGGTGAATAAATTTCAGTAAATAATGTTATAATTTTTACAAAAGTAAATTGATTAATGATTTGTTTAATAAAGTATGTGTTAATTCTGAATATTAAATTCAAGGAGATTGTATTTTTAGAACTTTTTTTATTCTATAATTAATTGAAGTAGTAAAACTGTAATAAATTAAAAGAAAATTAAATTTTTTTATTCTTTTTTCTACATAAAATCAGTCTGTATAAATTACTAAGATAAATCGATTTATACACTCTAATTTATATTACGCTTCTTGTAAGTAATCAAATATCTAATTATTGTAATTAAATAATAAACATTAAATTCAACGTCTAAATGCTTTTTATAATTAAGTGTTACTAATGAAATAAAAATAAAAAAATTATAACTTTTTTTTGGACCATTTTATATTATTGTCAAAATTAAATGTTGATTTAGAAACTATAATAGTTAGAAAATAACAGCTTGGTAATATTTTTCTTAGTTATAAATTACTTACCACTTTAAGCTCTTTTTTCATAGCTCTTGTAATATCTATTGATTTCTTCTTAATTTTTTTAATAGCGAATACACGTCCTTTATAAATACCGACTGTTGTAAATATCGATGAATATCGAAAATCTGCATCTGGATTGGAACTTAATGACACTTGACTAGTTCTAATTAATGGATGTAGTGCCTAAAAGTTGAAATATGTTTTTTTTTTTATCATACACGTACTAAAATAACTATATTTTAAAAGATGTATAACATTGTACTGCCATCTAACGTTTAGAAACTTAATTTTCCTTAAGATAAAGTTTTATTCAAGTTTTGAACACTAGACTGCAGTGAATGTCTAAAAACTAATCCATAAAGCTATTTATAAATGTTGAATAAAACAAATTTAACAGCTATAAATTTTAACACCTAATTCCGACACAAGTTTTTAAGAGATATTTATAATTCATTGTATGATTCATAAAATTTATTATTATTTTATAAATTATTATGCTATTATTTTATTATTTATTAATAAATTTAAAATGAAAAAATTCTAAACTGATTATTTCAAACACTAAACTAATAGAATTTAACAATCACGAAAAACTATGTGTATAACCAAATAATAATAGAAATTATTATTTGAAGTAATTTATAATTAAATTATAGTAGTACACAAAAAATTGTACACTTTTAAAATTTTATATTCACAAAATATATATAATTTATTTTTCGAACTGAAACATGATAATCAACTTTCTTGTTTTCAAAAGTATTCAAGTAACACTTATATTATTTTCTGTAATATAAGTTTTGCATCAGCCAGGCGACAAAAGTTTCCTTAAAAATGGAATAAAATAAGAATTACTATTTTATTTATAAAATAAAAATGTAACTGGAATAATAATTCAATTGAAAATGTATTGCAGCAAAAATTATCAACACAAAATTAATTTATTCTAATAAATTTAATAGCTTATAAATGTGAGGACGAGTATTATAAAAATCAATGTATTATTTTATGTATCACAGTAGATATATAAATATTAAAACTTACTTTATTTTTAACGATACAAATTGACTTTTATTGAATATTACAATATTTTTAAAAAAGAAAATGTTTAATACATTATGACAAAATAATTTTCCATCAGCTAATATGTAAATATCATAGGCTTATATAGTTTACCACTGACTCGTAAAGTTCAGCTGTTAAAACGAATAAAATGAATTTTGTACGAGCCAATAAATTTTATGGGTACGACCAAAATTCAAATAAGTTGCTTGATGCCAATGTACTCGTATAATCAAAGCATCACTGGTTTATGGGCGTTTATTAACGTTCTAGAAGGGCTTATAATTCATCGGCTAAAATTATGAAACATTTTATCCGACCGTATTTAAATTATGCATGTATAAATATATTTTGAATCATCGAGCACATTTACAGAATATCACAGTGTCCTATGTTTTGGACCAATGCCCACTAATAATCCTCTAATTTTATGAAGTCAATTCAGCACTCTGCAATATTGTACTACGACGATTAATATTTTAAACTGAATTTCCCAGTCAGCAATGGATGCGTAAGCAAACTATATGGATTTTATGTAATTTTCAAACGTTTTGTGGCAATTTTTATAATCTTACAGTTGAACTCCAGTTATACAATGGGATAAAGTGAACTGGAATCATTTAAAATTAAACAAAGTAATTTATTCGCAATACATGTGAATAGACAATTATTATTTTTAAATTTAGATTTTTAATTAAGCTTTTTTAGAAATTTATTTAAAATTTAGTGACTAGAAATGAAGCAATACCTCTCTATTAAAAGCACATAGCCACACCACATACTCGGTAAGTCTTGAATTTATAACAATGAAAGATCATATTTTTCAACTAACACCTTTTTAAAAATAGTGAAACCTCTTAAAAATCGAAAACACCCTTTTTAAATGTCGAATACCGCGTTGTGAAATACGTAGACCAGACCAAATCCGGATGTATTACGATTATGGACAGTGGATTTGAATGAATCCTGAGCGTTTCACTCGAGTACATTTCATCGTTTACCATCCCTGGGGGGTTATAATACAAGTGTAGTCACAAAATAGCTCGTGACCGTTATTATGAGTGCAGTTTCGAATTTCGAAACGTATAAAACATTATAGTGCTCCTTTGCCTTACTCTGGATATTTTCGATGAAGTGCTACTGTTTTCCGTGTCATTAATCTCTATGTCTTTGTAGTCGACCTTCCACAAAAGACTGTCCAACTCTTGTTCATATTTCCAATTTCTATAAAACACTAGAGACACGATAGCCAGCACTAAAAGCAATATACCCGCCACGACTGATAATATTTCTGCCGTATGAGCTGAAACAATCACGTGCAACATCATAAACACGAGTAACGGTCTTAAATTCTTTTGAAAGAGTAAAATATTTACTTATGCATTTTTCTCCACGAAATCCACAATGCGGTTCAGCTACCGGCGGTTTTCCGCCGATCCAATTTATTACTAGGTTCAATCTTAATTGCTAAAACATTTTTAATTGGTTAAATAGTATTATATTATATTATATTAGTGTAGTTTCTTTTTCGAAATAGTAAGGTAAGCGTACAGGAATTTTGGTCAAATTTCGATGACGAATAAATCCTCCAGCTGGAAATAGGCCATAATCCCCCGGGGAAACAGGATTACGTTGCCTGGACAGTAAAGTGTAATTGCCTTCGGCGTCGCCATTTTCATCCATGTACACTTCATAACTAAAATATATATTTTTCTATTATTGCTTCTATCATTGTACTCATCCATCATTGAATAGGATATTGTTTTTCGTTTGAAAAAAGAAAAATTATCAAAAGAAAAAACACATTTTTAACAGATAGAAAATATTTAATTATAATAATAAATTGTATTCTCTCAAAGCATAACAAGCCCAGTCCTATCATGTATTAAAAACGGTTAAATTACTTAAATTTATTATAAAATTGATATTTCATAGTACCCATTATAAACATTTTGTTTATAAAAAATAATAGTTCTATAGATTGAGAAAAATTTTATAACATTTTTCACAATGATTATAAACTGGCTTCCCCGTGATATGACATAAAATATTCAGTTTGTTTTATATTTACTAGGAAAATAAATATAATGTTGTATTTATATAGTAATAAAAAAAATTATAATTTCATATTCCATTCTTTTATTTACATTATTTTAGATACTAAACTATAAAATTGAAGTTATTGTTTTTATTTTTTTGATTGTATAAACCACTTGATATTCAGTGTTTATAGCTTGTAAGTTTTATATCATTTTTATATTGTAACCTTAAAATATACTTTTTAGATAGAATTACTTGTTTTATTATTATCACTTTTTTTTTTTTTTGAGAAAAAATAAAAATTGAACTATAACAACAACTTTAAATGAATTCTTAATTATCCCAAATGTTAAATATAATAAGCTATAGCAGAATATAACTTTTTTGAGATCTGAAAAAATTTGGTATTAAAATTATTTTTATCGTTTACTATTCTATTAAAGAAAATTAACGTTTTGGTTTGTTATCATAAGCCTTATATAATTATTATTAAACCGCTGAACACAATTGTAATGTAATATATTTCACTGGACTAGTAAAAGCTGTGTATTGCCTGATATATATTTTCTACAATATCCGCAACTAATACATTTTTATATCTTGTTCTTAAACGTGAATTGCTTACCCCAATGCGCTTTTGTAATGTGAACCTTTGAACTTGCTCATGATAGCCGTACCGTTTCTAGGATCATCGCCTCCCTCTATTGTCTCTAATACGCATCGTGCATATAAATTGACGGCATCATAAAGATATGCTGCTTCAACAGATATCTAACAAAAGTACAAAAAATATTATAAAAATTATCTTCGACATTGTAGAGTATGATTACTTAGCCCACAAAAATTATCGATACAGAAAATTGTAAAGTAACTAACAATTTTTAATCAAAATATATAATATATTTAGCGCAAAAGTTCTTCAGAATATACTTGTTCAGAAAACACATTAAAGAACAAACGAACTTAATAAATTGTGAGTTGTGACATAGGTAATGACAATATTTACTACTATTACAGATGTTATTTAATCAATCGAATTGATTATATTGGGCTTTATGAAAGCAAATAATTAGGGAGCTTTTTTAAAATTGGATATATTTATGTTATTTTTCCAAGTTAAGAATATTGTTATAGTACCTTACATTTTTTAAAATAGGGATTAGTAATCTTTTAAATCAAAATAATTATGTTAAATTCAAATCATTCAAAATAATTTTTTTTTAATTTATTATAATACTAATATTAATAATTTTAAGCATTTAAATTTATTTTGTTGTCTAATCTAATTTAATTCAACTATAATCATTAAAAAAATATAACAAAACACACTAATATAAATTGTTTTCTATTTTAGAATTATACCTGTTTCATACGACCGATTTGATGTAAGGGATTCGGATGATTGAATGGTGGTTTTTCCATATACTCATTGACTTTAACAGAAAAATTTTTAAATCCTTTTGGTGGTGTGGGTGCTATACTAAAAAACGAGCGCATTGCTTTCTTTAATACTGGGTCAGGATTATTTGACAGGATTCCCGTCAAGTATTTTGATGGATTACCCTCATCATATCGTTCTACATCTACACCAACTACAAAATATTCACCTAAAAAATTACGTTAAATTATTGTTCGGAACACAACGATTAGTTTTTTAACCATGCTTAAGGAAACCGTTGTTATGATTTATTATTATTGTGCACTTGTTAAACGGTGCCATAAACCTTTATGGACTTTTTCTGTACTTCCGGACTTACCTCAAGCTTTCATTATTATTATTTTATGACATTCTAGTTGTATGTTTGTGTGTTAGAAATATCGATTTTAAATATTTACTAAAACAATTTTAACGACTGATCGTGACCACTAACTATATTAATTAGCATTTGTTCATGTGTTAGATTTGAAAATAATTATTGTATATCATATAAAGCATACTATGTAATTTCGTGTTAAATCAATAACAGACATTATCAAGAAGTCACTACTATAAAAAAAAATGTGCAAATGTATAATAAACATGATATACTTTGTAACATGTTAAAACTGATGTTGAACGACCACATAATATGACCCTTGTATGGTTACCTAACAAAACAGAAATACCTACTTAAATTTATGTAAAATAACGTTGCAATTCGTTGTAAATACAAAAGTTTTGAATTATGAAACTGGGTCAGACAAATTTCTTTTTTACTGTTTATTAATGTATTACTTGTAACATAATTCAATCTATTATTTTACAAATAACAATTAATAAGTCTCCTTTTCATCAAACTGTTATTGAAAATTGAGTGACGAATAGAGAATTAAAAATAAATATTACAGTTATGATCTTTTGTTTACCTTAAATTTCTTCATCGAATAATGTAAATTTAACAACAATGAATAATTACAAAAAGATATTATAATGAATTAGTTGTTAAGATAAAATTTATTAGTATTTATTAACTTTCTATAATTTAAAATACCTAAAGTCATTGAAAGAATAAATTGAATTCTAAAATTTCCATTTAAATTTTATCGTCGCCTAATTCGCTTAACTATGTAAATTGAAACGTGTTCAATACATTAAACATTTTTCGGATTTGAGAGATTAATAGCAGTGTATTAAATTAATATAAATATTCTACGTGTTGATAATACCATTCATCAGTATTAACCATTATACTTATAGCTAAATAAATTCATCAACTACACTATAAATATAAATATCAATTGTCTATACCGCAACTATGACAGTTTGAATAGTCTGTAGATATTTATAAAAAAAATTTAACGGAAACATCAAGTAAATTAAACGATCACTTGTATAGAAAATATATATTTTTATTACATAATGAAATCCCTTTTTTTTTTTTTTTTTGAAAAACTATCTTTTTGTTGTAATTTTATATTATTTTGTGAAAACAGTTTGAATTCTAGATTTAGCCAAATCCATTATCAACTTGAATGTTGTGTCAATAAATTGAATTGTGACGTATTTCTTTGTGTTTAACTATTATTGAATATAAGAAACCCGAGAACACATTGATCCCACACACACTCTCATTTTTACGAGTGAAAGGTCTGTCAGGGTAGTTAAGTTCTATTTGACGTATTTCTGCGCTCTATGTGGAGTTTCCGGTTCAATAGCTGAGCCATCAAATTCGAGATAAGAAATAAAAAAAGTACCCAACTTATAACCAATAGAAAGTGTTCTTTGTAGTTGTATGAAGAATAAAATCAACCGGTCATCCAGTTGGAAAACGGCAACAGAAATACATATCTAATAGTCTTCAATGGAAAAAACAATAAAACTCCATAAAAGAGAGTTTATTGAACTTTCTAAAAAGTAAAAATTGATTGATCTTACCATTTTTGAATAAACCCATTTCTTCCATTGCGACAACAAGACCTGCATGATCGTCATTGTTACCCAGAACAACATAAACTGCAACAAAAATGTTAGACAATGATAATCATTTTACCATATTGAAGAAAAAATTATGTTTCTCGATGCGTCATAAATAACAATTTTCAATGAGGAAATAGCGATACCAGACTAAGTTTTTGTCATTTTATTCTAAAGTTAAGGTAATGAATAAACAAAAATAATGAGAGTGAGATCACTCTTTTAGTTTCTATTCAATATATTGGATACGCTACTATTTATATATTAATATTAATATTTTTTTTAAATTAGAGTATACATCATTAAAATTACGAAAAAGGTATTGAAATACCTTTTTTTTAATGACTACATATTGTAATTATTTAAGCGTTTACTAATTAACTTAACTGGGTCGCAAGTTTTTACCACTATATGGATGATTTTATTACAAGTTATGTCTAAAATGGTATAAATAATAGCAATCGATACTGTCGCGTTTTTAATGTTTATTGTAATTGTTTAAAATATGAAAGTCTATGCATACTGATATTCAATATAACTGTTGTCCCCAAATAAACAATTTTTAATGGCCTGAAAATAGTGTGCCAAAAACATTTGTACCGAAAAGTTTTTTTAAATCGAACTTCTTACTGCTTGAGTGTCAAAATATAAATAATAAATTCGAGTCAGTAATAGGATCGCGAATTATTATTTCCCAAACTGAATTATTAATAACAGTTTTTTCAGAAGTAAAAAAATTTCATGGATTGCCTAACTATCTCATATACTAAGTTATTCCATCAATTTAAAATTTTTTTAACTTGAATAAAATACTAAAGTAATAATTTAGAGTAAAAAAATCAGAAAAAATATATTCACTAGCAAAAATCTACTCATACAAACTTATACTATATCATTAAAATTTCCTAAACCTCAAAAATCAGCAAATCACATTTTACAGCAATCGTTCTTGTTATAGTTTTTAAACGCAGTTTTCGGCATTAAGTTCGGATTTTGATCACGATTTATCGTTTAACGTTTTTTATACTTCGGCTTGAACAGTCTTTTGACATGTTATGCTCGTGTATAAAAGTTGAATAAAACATCACCATTTTAATACGTTAAGTTAAGCTTTTGATCCCTTAAAATGTTTGAAATCGTTTTATTTTTAAAAAATTTATTAATAATGATTAGTAAATTTTTTCAAATCAAAATATTTTGTTTAATAGGTTAATTAAAGTTTAATTTGCCAAACCAAACATAACATGTTATTGGTAATGTTCCCAACTAATATCCTACCCCTAGTAATTATAAATGTGTATTAGGAACAATATTATCTCTTTGATTTAACTTAAAATTTAATAGATGTTCAATTGTTATGGTAATTATCTTAGTTTTTCAGTATTTCTTTAAAAATTACTCTTTATTTTTAAGTCAATACCACGTGCCACGCTCTGTATTTCAATTGAATTATTTCAAAAGTACAAAACTTTTTTTCTCTCAAACTTTTTCTAATTTAACGTTATTGATGTGGTTTTGTTTTCTCCCACGAGAGCATTTTTACAAAAATAGTATAATATTGTTCATTCAATAATAGATAAGAGGTTGTCGACATGCGTAAAATTTAACAAGCGAAAAAACACTATGATATCAGTAACACATACAGACGTTAAACAAAACATATCTCAACTAGGACACCAGACATAAAGTATTCAATGTTGTCATACATCAACTGAAAAATAAATTTAACGAGAGTACAAAAAAGCTATACTTGAAAACAAAAAAATGACTTTTCATTTTCTATTTTGATCAAATGGTCCATTTTATTTTCTCGCAACAGTCAGCACAATAGTCTACAATTGACTTAATGACTAAGTATAACGGCACAACCTAAAAACAGTACATAAAAGAAATTGGCCATCCTAAAAATCGCTGAAATAAATAATTTCACAGCTTACCGACTTCCTAACTGTGGTAAAAATAAAAACATTTTGAAACTCATCCAATAAAAATGTTCATGAAGTTCATTTAAAATTTCAAACGCAAAAATAAATTACACATTCTAAGAGATACATTTTTGCATTAAATAAGGTAAAATTACCAATTAATCAATTCTATAAATGGCGTTCTAATTTGTACTAATATTTTTTTTTTTATTTAATTTATTTTATTCGACTTTATTTCACAATATTATTTTTCAATACATTTCTTAAGTTTCGATGTTAAAACAAAGAAAATAATTTGAAACGTTAACATTTTAAGTCTACAAATTATAATTCTTGATAAGTGTTTCATGTGTTAACAGCTTGTGGGTTTTATAAACTTAAATACGTTTAGTATACTATATTGAAACAATCAAAATATGTTTCTGTAAATTTTATTTTGAAATTAATGATGAAATAAAAGCATATTGTTTTCGTGTTGTATAATGCTATGCTTTGGGAACAGAAATATTATTTTGAATGTAATAACGCTTCGACGCTGAGCTTGCTTTCTTTTATACCATATCATCAACATAGAGAAATAACGATTTCCGTTATCAATGGTGTAACACATGCATGAACACCATTCTTCCATTATTCAAGTTTTTTTAGCAAATATTTATTTTTTATACTGTCATGCTTTTGGATAACAGAGCGAAATAAGTTGGATATTAACCCTCAGAGTAAAGTTAAATAAAGCAAAAAAAGTATGTAAAAGCGAATCGTTCATAAGTCTTTGAATAAAACTACTTCTTGAAATCATACTATAAGTACAAAAGTCATGGTTTTACTCGATTATGGTAAATATTTATGCTAAGAAACTGCACAGTAATGTGTTTTTGATTGTCGAATGCACGAATGTAGTATCAACTTGAAACTATGTAAATTCCGTGAATGTTTTATGATCTATTTTTAATGGCTGATATATACAAACAGTGATTAAAACAAAGTATACAATTTATACAGCAATAAAATAAATTATCCGATTACTAAACATATATTTTAATTAAAAGCCTTAAATGATAATAAAACTGATTTATTATAAGTTAACTTCTACGAGGACAACACTTACATCCTAGTTAGAATTTTTTTTTTTTATTGTGAATTAGGATATGCTAGAGACCGTAACACAAGTTGTATATATGACATGAATATAATTTCGGTCTTTTAAGGTTGATAAATTTATAACTTTTCTTAGTTCCAATAAAAAAAAGAAAACGTGATCTTATATTATATTAAAATGTATGGTGACATACGCTTAAGTGCTTTAAAAATGGAAGATCATTTGTTCGTTGGAACAAATATATATGTATGTTCTTTTTTTTGTAACAGTAATTTAAAAAGTACAATACTATACTGAAGGATATAAAAAACATAGATTCTTCTTTAAATTTAAGGTAATTGCTCTGAAAATTCGATTTGTCAGACATAACAACAAACTTATAAAAAAATATATTTTAAATTGTAGTGTGTATGTGGGTTTCAGACAGTGAACTCTAGAAAAACTTTTATGGCTTATACAAATTTAAAAAGTGGTAAATAGCTTATAATAATAAAAGTTATAAAAGGGAGTGACTTTTTTTATTATAATTAAATTTATATTTGTTTTGTCTTAATTTTACATGTATAAAAAACACTTTAAATGCATTAAGGCTATTTTTAATTTTTACTAACTTAGACAACAATTGTACAAAATTAAATAAAATTTTTGATAGATAGAAAAACTTTAACATTGAATATAACGTTCTAATTAAACAACTAATTTATTAACAATTTACAGCTGGCAAAACGCCATAAATATTTTTGACATGGATAAATGTAACTCTAACCTTGTTATTTTAACGAGTTTGAAATTAATACTACTTAAAGCAAAAAATTAATTTAAATTTTTTAAATTTCAAAATAAATGGTTTTTTGAAATATTGATAACAGCTGAAAAAGTATATAATTTATTGATATACCTAAGGATATTATTAATTTTTAAATATAGGTAGCTATATAAATATATTTACTTACATTTTGCTTTTTATAGTTTTCAAACTTTTATTGACTTTGTGAAGGTAGAGTAACTTTATAAAAGCATTGCAAAATCTAGTGAATATTTATATATATAGCTTATTTATAATTTTACTTTAGAAAAATTTGAAAACACTGCACGTATTCGCACATCATTGTGAACTTTAATTACATACTCAGAGTTTACTATACGGTGCATGGTCAAAGTCAACTGAAATAAGAACTTGATTTTTAATCAATAATCTACTAATAAGTATGTTTAATTAAACATAATTTGTATTATGCTTTAAGTGTCTCAATTTATACCGGCTTTATTGAATACTAAAGTGTTATTTTATTGGAATCATAAATATGTTTTACAAAATTAAGTTTTTATATTATATATGCAATATAATGCAAAAATTCTTCAAAATTTTACCATGAAATCTTGTTGAGTGTTCATTTATTAGCAATATCTATAAGAGATTTAAACATATTTATACAATATAACCTCTCCTGGTTATATTGTAGGCATTTATTCTCCTATAAATGCCTAAATAAAACTATTTACAAAATTAAATGCAATTTTTTTTTAGTTTGGAGTGGATAGTGTAAATTTTTTTTATGTATATTTCCATCAGAACAAAACTATAATTATACCACTTTTATTGTGTAATTGTCTGTTATAAAACACGAATTTAAAGAACTAGTATATAATGCGATTCGTTTAACGCTAGCGAATCAATTTATCTTATTTAAGATTTTATTTTAAAATAACAAGTATTAAAAAAATTTTTTTTTATTTATTACATATTTTATCTTCAATTATCTGTTCGATAATAATTTTTATCAATCCCTTATGCCATATAAGGGTGTCAACTTTTGTGTCAATAATTTAGATATTATTATAATTTTAAACTGTAAGTTAAGTACAGGTATGAATATTTTTATCATTATACATTTTTGGCGGCTTTTCTCCTTCCACCTAGGTATTAAATTGTTATAAATCAATCATAATATATTAAAAACTTAATTAGATAATTTCGTATTTTATTAGGTAGAGAAATACTTATGTTGACATTA